GGTGCATGACCTCTTAAGTGCTATGAGCACATGCACTCCTATGCTCACAAAGGTTGCATTTATTTGATAAAAAAGCAGTAAAAACTGTAATATTGTTAAATATTATTACAATTTAAAATAACTGTTTTATTTATTTTAAGATATTTATTACTTTTTACATTTATATAATGTAAATATATAATTTTGAATATATAACAGTTATAATTAATATATAATTTATTCCTGTGACGCAAAGCTGAATTTTCAGCATCATCACTCCAGTCTTCAGTGTCACGTGATCCTTCAGAGATCATTCTAATATGCTGATTTGCTCAAGTAAAACATTTTTTATTATTAATGTTGAAAATGGTTGTGCTGATTTATATTTGATAATTTTTTTTTTTTTCAGAATTCTTTGATGAATAGAAAGTTCAAAGGAACAGCATTTATTTGAAATAACATTATAAATGTCTTTACTGCCACTTTTGATCAATTTAATGCATCCTTGCTGAATAAAGGTGTTGATTTAATTTACTGTATTTTTTTCACGGGTCCAACTGCATGCAAAATTAAAATAACACTGAAACAAAATTGATTTAAATTTGCATAGCAACTACCGATTTTACTTTGACTATGTAGAGTTGTAAGGTTAATTTCATTTTATTTACATTTAATTTTTTTTTCAAGTTTAACTATGTGCATATATGCATATGTGTATATGTTTTTTAATTGCTGATGCTGATATGTATATCAGAATTCTAATCATGTTTATTTTAAAATTATTTCATTTTATTTCAGTTTCTTAAAATCAAACTTAAAACCAATTAAGGATGACCATAAACTGCATTGGTCCAACTGCTGGTCCATAACATTGTCCGAAAAACTAAATTGATTGAAATTTGTATACTATATACTGATTTAGTGTGCAAACTTTGAACAATTATATGGCTAATTTCATTTCATTACAGGCATTAGAATTGTTTTGTTCAACCTGCTGTCTGTCTGAATCTGAACAGACCTGTGACCAATTTCCGGGTTGTGAGAGTGGTCTGCTTATTTCTCATTCTGTCTCTGTCAGAATGTGATGAGATGTTTTGTGGCATGATGATGATGATGCTAGTTTTTTAGCCTGTGGGTGATTTAAAAAAAAAAATCCTATTATTGCTTTTATTTGTACATTGGATGCATTAGATGGAGTGAGAGAGAGTGGATGTGTGTGTGTGTAAATTGATTTAAATTTGCATAGCAACTACCGATTTTACTTTGACTATGTAGAGTTGTAAGGTTAATTTCATTTTATTTACATTTAACTTTTTTTTCAAGTTTAACTATGTGCATATATGCATATGTGTATATGTTTTTTAATTGCTGATGCTGATATGTATATCAGAATTCTAATCCTGTTTATTTTAAAATTCTTTCATTTTATTTCAGTTTCTTAAAATCAAACTTAAAACCAATTAAGGATGACCATAAACTGCATTGGTCCAACTGCTGGTCCATAACATTGTCCGAAAAACAAAATTGATTGAAATTTGCATACTATATACTGATTTAGTGTGCAAACTTTGAACAATTATATGGCTAATTTCATTTCATTACATGCATTAGAATTGTTTTGTTCACCCTGCTGTCTGTCTGAATCTGAACAGACCTGTGACCAATTTCCGGCTTGTGAACTTGCGACCCATCACTTTTTAAAGAGTGGTCTGCTTATTTCTCATTCTGTCTCTGTCAGAATGTGATGAGATGTTTTGTGGCATAATGATGATGATGCTAGTTTTTTAGCCTGTGGGTGATTTAAAAAAAAAATCCTATTATTTCTTTTATTTGTACATTGGATGCATTAGATGGAGTGAGAGAGAGTGGATGTGTGTGTGTGTGCTTTCATGTATGTCACCCTGTTCAATTTTAAAAATGTGTGTTCCATAGTTCTCGTTTGCTATAAAGTTTGACCTGTGTTTGACCCAATCCACACAATACTGTGCCCTTACAACACAGCCTTCTTGAGGTTTCAGGGTTAGGTTGAGTGCTTTCCGTACCATTTACGACACTCAGGCTTTTAGAAGACCTTTCCATGACCCCGCGGCACACCTGCTCCCCCAACAGTTCACCAGCACTTCTGAGCAACCAACAAATCTGTCAAGATTAGCCGAATCATTTCTGTGAATCAGTTCATTTGGGTGCTTAAAGGGTTAGTTCACCCAAAAATTTAAATTAGCCCATACTCACCCGCAAGTCATCCTAGGTGTATATGACTTTCTTCTTTCAGACGTTAAGTCCAGAGTTATATTAAACATTGTCTTTGATCTTTCAAGCTGTTTAATGCCACTCAGTGGGTGTTGCATGCATCAGTCCAAAAGATGTGAAATGAAAAGCGTCCCATCCATAAAAAAAAGTGTCTCACACGGCTCCGGGGGGTGAACAAAGGCTTCCTGTAGCGAATCGATGTGTTTTTGTAAGAAAAATATCCATATTCAAAACGTAATAATCACTTTAATGTAGCTTGTGCCAACAGTTGTACACAGAAACCGCTCCGGGAGCATGACGTATGAGGTCAGCGTTGCGCATGCGCCGGTGAGTCTCGTGAAAACCAACGTTTGTTAACAGGAGCAAAGGAAGCAAAGTTTCCTTTCTTTAGCAAAGGAAAACCTGTCTCCTCTTGACTTATATCGAAATCCTCTGACATTCTTCTTTACAAATCCTTGTTTTGTACTTCTAATAAGTAACCGTGGTTTTGTTTTGATCTCTCTGCTGCGCTTTCGCATCCGTCACTTCTGAGCGGCGCATGTGCAACTCTGACCTCATACGTCATCCTCCCGGAACTGCTTCT